GGGGGGGCGCGGGAGGCACTGACCGGCTGATACCGTCACTGACCTGCGCCCGCACAATGACTGACACTCTCCCACCGACCGACTGACACCCTCTCATTGACACTCGCACTGACTGACACTCTCACACCCATTGATGCCGTCCCTCTGGCACCATCACACTGGCTGGCTGACACCATTACAGCAACTGACAGCCTTACTCTAGCTGACTGACACTCTCACTCTAACGCCCACACAACAACCGACAGACCGATATCCTCACAGTTCTGACACCTCGCTCTGACTGACACCTGACACCAGCTGACCCTCTCCCTGACCGACTGACCCCTTCACACCACTGACACAGCCTCACAGCCCCTCACACATTCAGACACACCTGAACTCCCCAAGTGACACTCACGTCATACACTCCTGTGCATGCTGACATGCTCACACAGGCTGACACACACTCAGACATAAAGTCCAGCTTGACAGGCTTATTTGTGAGCAGTTACACACACACCCCCTAGAGTGACCCTCATTGCCTGCCTGCAGCCAGGTTACAGCGAGACTTACACCAGTGTCCCTGGTGGTCAGACACATGCATGGGCATCGAAAAGTCTCACACCTCCATACTCTTAAGAGGCACTTATTCCCATACTCACAGCGTGTACACTTGCATGCTTCAAGGATTTATCTGCTGTTTTACATGCTCAGCTGCTATAGGCAGTTACATGCTTACATTATGCAAGGCATTTACACATACTCATGGTTGTGCTGCTAATTGTGCTCACACTTGTAGGCTCATTTGTATGCACCTGTCCAAGATTATCCCTCACAACCTGCCGCCTACATGCACACCTGTGGGTGCACTTACGCCCTCATAGGGATTTTGACTCCCCTACGTGCACGCACATTCAAAGCATTTGCACTTCCTGCTAGGTCCCTCATTCCTGCCTGTGTGTGTACCTGGCAGAAAGAGCAGCTGTGTGAAGCACACTCACAGGGGCTTCTTCACCCAGGAATGTCTTGATGCCCACTCATGTGCACACTGTAGGTACACTCACAATTACGCACAGCCCATGATGTCCCTTGTGTGCCCCTCACACTCCTTGTGCCCGTGTCCTTTCCACTCACTACTGAACACACACTTTCACACACGTGTACTCACCCCAGCATGTTGTAGTGCTCTGCCACCCAGCCGCACTGCATGTGTGTGTGCTCAATGTGTTGTGGTGCCTGCATTGCTGCCACCGTGGTACACTGTGACACACACGTGCAGTCCCACTGCTGGGTGCAGTGTCTTTGCTGTCTGTCACACACTTGTACACACCTGTGTGCACTCCACTATGCATGTACAATGTCACAACTTCTCTGCCACCTGTTTCTTGGATGCACATCTTCCTTCAGCCCCTTTCTTGCAGCTCACACCATCACAGTCCTGCTTGCACATAGTGTTCCTCATCTCTCACGTGTGTGTGTACACACAGCTCAACACATCCCTGAGAATCCCACTGGGTGCTTCTCTTCCACACACACACTCAGCACACCCACGTTATCAAGGTGTCATCCTCTACCTGCCTCTGCTCGGGCATGGAGACTCTGGAGTCTGTTCTCCCTTTTCCCCACAAAGAGGATTCTCCGCCACCTCTCTGTGATAAAGCCCATCTTTTTCATCACTACTCTCACTCTTTGAGCCTTATGGACATATCCAAGCAACTGGTTGTGTTTACAAATACAGCTTTCCTGTGCACACACACAGCCAGGATCGCCCTGCATGGCACATCTGTGCAGAGTGGTGCTGCCTCTGCACCTGGGACAAATCAGTTCTGCTTCACACTCACCTCCACAGAGCATCTACTGCCTTTGACACGTGCAAGTGCAGTACGGTCACCTTCTTTCACATACTTCACAATCTGTCACACACGCAAGTGGTGGAGCCACCTGGTACCTGACAGATACACAAATACTTGAGGGCTGTAGGTTACCATGAGCCACCTGTCTTACACAGGTAAATACATGGAGCTATATATATTTTTTACATACATTTTTCAGCTCCATGTTACTTGTCACACACACCGCTCCCCATTCTAATTTTGGTTAGTTCCCTCCTCCAGTTTCTGTTATACACAGAGGTGCCCTGTTCACTCAGGCTCTTCATAGTATATTTGATCCAAATTCCAGTGCCATTTCCTACTTGTCAGTACCTTACACCATGCAGACACTTGCTCTCCAGCATGTTCACATGCACTCTTACCTGCACAGTGCGGTCCTTCCCTGTGACATGAACGTGGTCAGTGCTCCCATGGGCAGGATGAAGCGTAGAGCTGCTGTGGGACGCGATTCCAGGGTTTCCCCCGAGTGTTGCCCTGGTATAACCGGGGTTGTGTGGGGCAGACACAGCTCTGCAGACCCCTGCCGCAGCTCCACGGGGCAGTGTCACCTGCCACATGCCGCCCGGGGTTGTGCCACGCTGTGTATCCACAGTGCTGGCCCAGCCTTTGCTTGCACCTGGGGAAGGAGCCTGCCACCTTCTCCCCTGCTCCCTGTAGGAAATGCTCAGTTTGTTGCTGTATGTTTCTGAGTGGCTTTTGTCCTTCTGTGAAGCTCCCTTGTTCTCTGAAATTCATGCTGTCTCTTGGGTTCCACTTTGCAGACTGTTGAGCCTGGTTCATGCATGCCTGCTGGTTTTGAGTGGCATCGACCCTCTTAAATGAGTCTTCTTTTTGAAGTGTAAGGGTAAAATCCTTCTCAATAATGTTTTAACGGCTTAGAGGGACATTGACACATATATTCTCTTTTTTGTAGATGCCCAAATCTAACTTTCTTTCTCTTTTTGCTTTTATAGCTGGAGCCCTATATGGATGAAAACTTTGTTTCAAGAGCCTTTGCCACCATGGGAGAGCTTGTACTGAGTGTAAAAATCATTCGAAACAGGTTGACAGGGTAACTGTTTCTGTTTGTTCTCCGAGTGCATTTGGACTGAAGCCTCGCTGTGGTCCATCCATATCAGAGTGAATTTTCCCTTTGAGTTTCTCACCATTGCTGCCACCAATATGTGAATATTGCTGAGAGCAATGGAGAGGGCACTGCTGGCTCTTCAGCCTCCCCTCAACAAACACGGTTTGGTCCACATCCTGCAGTGCTCCAGCACTCAGCCAGAGCAGTGTATGTATCTCATTCCATCCCTCAGGGAATTAAACCTCCCCAGGCTTTGGTTGCTAGTCTGTAGTACAGCTATGTGATGCTGGCAGAGGTGGGAAGTCGGACTCAAAGCAATAAGAGAACCTTTAAAGTTCATTTAAAATAAAATGAGTGATTTATGCAGAATAAACTAGTTTCATTCTTATTAATAATTATTTTAAGTGTTGTAATTTCAGTTTTCTGTAGTTTAAACTTGGGTGGGCAAATTGATATTCAATGAAAGTGGGAAGTAAACTGTAAGCTAAACAATTTTCTATGTGCTTATCTACCTGACTTATGGTAAGTAGGGGCTGTCTCTTGAGATCCGGCTTCTCTTTGGTAGCCAATATTTATACTTTAGAAATAAGCTCTTCTATGTATTGCAACTACAGCAAATTTCTTACCAGTTATGTAAAATACAGCTTTCCTCATCAAATGTGTTTTAAGTTTATAACTTTTGTCTCTTCTCTTCTGTGTTGTATGTTCAGAATTCCAGCAGGCTATTGCTTTGTAGAATTTGCAGATCTAGCTACTGCAGAGAAATGTTTACACAAAATCAATGGAAAACCACTTCCTGGTGCTACACCGGTAAGTAAATGGGATCTGCCAGTTGAGAACCAAAACTTGGTAGGGACAGATAGGGTAGATTGTGTATTTTTAATGATTACAGATAATTCAGTGGTTAGCAAACTGGGATTCGTATTTGCTTTAGAATTGAAGTTATGACTATAAAACTGCTAATGTTCTTGCTCAGAAAATTGTTGAGAAAAAACACTGATTTCTTTGTGACTGTCTAGATAAAATTAAAGTGTAGAAGTGTTGTGGGGTGTGATGTTTTTTATATCTAACCTTTGCTGCTGTTACCAAAGTTGGACTAATCAGAAACCTGAGAAGAACAAGGAAGAAATTAGACTGAGTATAGTGTATGTCTGCCTCAATTCTTCCATCTCTCTCCTTTTGTATAATTATGGAGTCACAGAGTGGTTTGGGTTGGATGGGACATTAAAGCTTATCATATTTCATTCCCTATCATGGGTAGGAACACCTTCCACTAGACCAAGTTGCTCTAAACCCCATCCAACTAGGCTCTGAGCATTTTCAGGGATGAGGCAACTTGAGAATTTAGCTGTGTCTATAGAGGATGAACTTACAAGTTTACACTTTCTTTTGAATAACACTGATTGGCAAGAGAAACATGACTTTTAATTTTGCATTGTTCTTGACCCTTAGCAAACAGAGGTTACTCAAACCTCTTTACAGTGGAGAATGAGACAGAGGATTGAATAATTGCAGTGGATAACTAGCATCTCTTCTACATAAAAGCTGGGTAGTTAGGGGGAAGAAGAGGAATAGGCAGAGAGGCTAATTTTAGGATGTTGACTTGAATATGTGGTAGATTAAAATGGGACGGCTGACACAGCTGTCTGTTGTACCCACAGGAGTTGGCTGCAGTAAGCTGGGGTGACTGATTCATAAAGCAGCTCTAGAATCACCCCACTTATGGTATGATATACAAAGTGAATGGATTCCTATTTCAGAGTAGTTAATACCCGGAGGAGACTGGGAAGTTCAGATTGAGCTGTTCAGTCAACATTGCTGAGAGGGTGACATGCCCCGTTAAAAGGAGTCGATGAGAGCCCTGGAGATATCTGTTTCACATGTTTGCTCTTGATTAAGGCAAGCTGATCATCCTGGATGCCTTCTGTAGTCACTGGAGAGACAAAGAGAGCAAGGAGTAAGATAATAATGGAAATCTGGTTTTGGGAATACCCATCTTTCTTCACAGTTTTGTTCAAAACACAGTGCTGTGTGGAGGGATGATTTACATAACACATGGAGAGAACTACAGATGTCAGGCAGAGATCCAAAGCAGCCCAAATCAATGCACTCAGCAGGCAACTGCCCAGCTCATCCTTTGCATTTAGAGAATTTTGTTTACAGAAAACTTGAGTGTGGCTCATGCTTTTATTTCTTTTTAAATACTGAATCAGTCAAGGGAATAACAGAGAGCCATGGTGCTGGTGGTGTTTCTCTTTTCCAAGCATTAGTGTTCACAGTTCCCATCTGAGTGGAAGTACTCTCAGGTGTCTTGTTGATTTTAAACCCAGAATATTGCAATGAAGAGCAAGATCCCCCCCCATAAAAAGATCTACATGCTTCAAAGTGGAATTTAAATTTTGTGTTAGCTTGTAAATAATCCACAGAAAGTTGTATAGTACTGTGCTCCAGAGAATGCAAGCATGCAAGGAGCAGGATTAGCAGTCTAGAGTTGAGTCTGTGCTCTATTTCCCAAGAAGTATTTACCTGGTTTTGAGGGAAGGAAATCCATCATATGAGGGCTCTTCACTGTACTGAACAAGTACCCTGATCTTTAGGGCATTTCTGATTGTGATCTGAAATCCTGATTTTAGGATCTGAAATCCTGATCCTGAGATTAGCCTCTGATCTCTAAGAGCTGATTCAAAGATTTGGTCTCCTTAGATCTTGGTCTAAACTTAGATGTAAGTTGGATAAAAGTTGCTGAAAGTCTAGTAGGTGGGGGACAGAGAGTTCCAGATGTGCCAGAGGGCACAAATCTGGGCTGCTGCGAAACTTGTTTCAAAAATAAATTCAGATGCAAAATTTAAAGAGGGCTCCAGTGTCCAATGTAGTTCTTTCAGAACCCTTTGAATCTTACTAAATGTCCAGAACCAAGTATTTAGCCACACTTCCAGACTCAGGTTGATTCCATTTTCCAGTGTGTTGGATTTGGTCTGCTAGTGTTTGTGTTAAATCACAAAAGTCCAGTAATGATACTGTCATTTCATTTTAAGACCTGAAAATTGGAAGAAATTTAACATTTATTGTTTCTACCTCTGTTTTCATTTTTATTTTCATTATTATATCTGTACTGATGCTAAATAAAAACGTGCTTGTTGCCTTAACTGGCTGGCATGAAGGCATTGAACGTGTGTCAGCATTAAGTTGTATTAAATCAGCTTATTATATTTTTCCCTAATTGCTTGAATTCACATGACAATGTTTGAATGTATGGATTCATTTTTGCCTTGTTTCAGGCGAAGCGATTTAAATTGAATTATGCAACATATGGAAAACAGCCTGATAACAGGTAAGTGCTCAATATTTAAATATTAATTTTTCCTGCTTAATGTCTCTCTATTAATTGCCTTGCAAAAAGTATTCAGACTATGTAAACTCAAAGTTCATCACTGCCAGTCTTTAGTAGAAGGAAGAGAACTTAGACTGCCAGTTTTGTGTTTTGCACTGTGTGTGGCACAGAAGATTTATCCAGTGTCCTTTAAGGTATTTAAACTTTGTAGCATCAAAGTATCTAGTTCGTATATTATAATTTAGATCTATGTATTGGAATAGCATATCTATAAATGAGATATTTTTTCTTGCCGTTTTAGAAATCAGAAATATCCTGTGAGTAATAAGCTTGGAAATAATCTTTAAATAAAAAGCAGTATTAAGTTGATTGGTTGTGCTGTTTCAATTAACTTGAAAAAGCAGTGTCAATCAAAATTTTAGTTAAGCAGCTTAACTAGTGGCATTTAAATTCTCCATGAAATGGTCTTTTAGTATCACTCTTCTCTGAGTTAGGATATTTAGGCTAAATGGTAACTGTCACTACTGCACTACTGTCACTCAGCATGTCCCTTTTTTTTTTTAATGATTATATTTAAGATGTTCTTTTGATTTCTTTAGTCCAGAATATTCCCTTTTTGTTGGAGACCTGACTCCTGACGTGGATGATGGGATGCTGTATGAATTTTTTGTTAAAGTTTATCCATCGTGTAGAGGTGGAAAAGTTGTTTTGGACCAGGCAGGAGTATCCAAGTAAGTCGTCTTTTATTCTTTTTTTTTTTTTTTTTTTTACTTCACATGTTGCAACAGGAAAAATAGAATACAGCAAGGGGAAAAAATCCTTTTAGCTTAGATTTTAGTAATCTTAAAATGTAGTGGTTTTGGCCGTTCAGTCTGCAGTTTGCTTGAGTTTTTATAGGCACCATGGGTATTTTCACTCCTCTGTCAGTGTGAGGCCCTTTGTGTGTTATTGCACTTCTTAATATGCTGAAAAATATCTTAAGTAATCTTAAAACACTCTCTTCCTGGACTCTTGCATGGAATTATGCTTTACAAACTTCAGGCTATTGAGTGTATATTCCTGTGTGAGCTGTATGTGTTTTCTTTCAAATAGGGTAGGGCACACAAAGCTATGATTCACTGTCAAGTTCTCAGTAGCTGCCTTGTTTGTGTTTTCTGAAAATGCCTTGCTAAAAGTAGGTATCAAGTGGTTGGATCTCTTAATGTAATTAAAACATTTTCTAAATAGCACAAAATTAAGCTGTATTTTCCAGGGAAGGAGCAGTTGGTAAGCATCCTTGTTTTCGAAGCAGAGCATGGCTTCAGTGAAGCACAGTTTTGTGATATAACACCTCTGAGAATGTTGGGATAACATATAGGTTATGGCTGTGGGTCCCTCTACCTTCTCATATGTGGTTTCTTAGTATTAGGTTGGTTTCTGGAGGTCTCTGGTCCAGCTCCTAACAGGACTGCAGCCAGCGCTAGATCATATCCATGTATTGTGTAGCCTGGAAAACCTCCCAGGATGGAGTTAATTCAGGCTGTCTGGGCAGCCTGTTCCAGAGCTGCACTTCTCCCCAGTCATGAAGTTCCTCTTCACGTGCATCTTGAACCTCTTGCAGAGCTACTCAGTCTCTCTGGCTGTTGGGTCCTCATGCTGTCATTGCCACCTCCCCTGGGACTGACACTGCTGGGCTGGGCTGTGTGTGCCTTCTGCTCCTCCTCAGTGTAAACCCCACAGTTCCTGTTGTGCTGCACCTGCTTCAGGCTTTGTCTGTAGAACAGGTGTTGGTGCTGCTGGCTGGACTATTGCTGCAGGTTGGGTTTGGGAGCTGTGCATAGGTGCAGACCTCAAGGAAAGGTAGCTGCTGGGTAGCTTCCCAAGCTGTGGTAGCTTGAGAAGCTGGGGAGGAGCAGGGACTTAGAGTCCTGCTTCTGGGAAGAGCAAAGCTGTCTCCCCTGGCAGTGCCAGAGTGTTGGTGCCAGGGGCTTTGTTGGGACTTGTGCAATTGCTCAAAGCTGAGGCATCTGCAGGTGTCAGTGTGATGTGAGAGAGGAGCTTAGGGCTTGTGGACATGCCCAGTGAAGCCCTGGCCCTTCCAGCCAGGGCTGGTGGAACAGGAAGGCCTCCTCCCAGCACCTCTTGTCCAGACAGGAGAGGAGCTTGGAGCATGGTGCTGTGGTGCTGTGCCTACTTCTCTGCTTTCTGCTGAGGGTACAGGTGCTGGGGCTTTCCAGACTTCAGGGGCAGGACAGAAGGTCTCCAGGGAGGTCCTGTCCAGGAAAAAATTATTTCTTTCCTCACCAGTGGTTTAGCCATTGGTGTGGACAAGCTAAATGTGTGGAAGAGTTGGAAGAATCAGTGTCTGGAAGACTTGGAAGAATCGCTGTCTCCCTTGCAGCGCCCAGCATCTATTCCTGTACACTGCATACATCTCTATTTGTTTCTGTTTTGGAACTGCCAGTCTTCCCAGTTTCTCTTACACACCTCTGGTCCCATCTGAAAATCTGGAGGAGTCTTTTGGCAGCTTAGAAACTTATTTGGGTTTGTGTGTGAACACCTTAAAAGGACTTAAAAGTTGACTTTCACTGGATTAATTTGCGATAGTCCTTTGGCAGAGGGCGAGTTAAATGAACGTGGGTCTGTGTAGAGTTTTGCTTGTGTTTAATAATCTAGTTTCTATGTAGATAGGTCTAAGCTTTGATCTGGTCTTTTTGTGAGGAGGATACATCCATACCTGTGTGTGCATATGTATATGTATATGTATATAATATATTATATACATAATATAATATATTATATATATAATATAAAATATAAAAAATATATAAATAAGATATTTATATATCTTGTGTGTGGAGCTTGTTGTGCGAGGTACTGCCTTTTCTGGGGCATGAACTGCTCTGAAATAGCTGCCAGTGGGGACCTCCCATGAGTAGTACATGATGCTGCTTTCAAAATAGGACATAACCTGGCGTTTAGCAGTTCCCACAGAATAGATAATGCACTGTAAGTTTACACCCTTGTTATGGCTCATTCTTTTCCCCAGGTAGACAAGCCCTTCCCTCCCAAACGTCTTCCTTTGCTTAGATGGATTCCTCTTACCCTCCCACATCTAAGTCTTTGATCTTTCTGCTGTGTTAGGCAGCCCATCCCATGTTGGGATCCTGGCACTGCCCTCTTGGATGCTGTTGCATTGCTTCTGACTCACTACAGCATCAAAATCCCACGCAAAGGACTGTTGGGGTTGGAGGGAGTTGGAGTTTTCTGTCTGGCTGACGTGCAGTGCTGCCACGTCACAATGAAGGCTTGTTGCAGAGTCCAGGGGTTCTGGATTGATATACCAGTCTTTTCCAGCCAGGTCTTATAAGCTCTTGGAGATCTATATCACACCTGAGATAGCTCAGCCACCTCAGATGGCATAAAATTAGCAGGATGGCTTCTGTGGCAGTGTTGGAAACACAAAAGTTTTAATGAAAGGCAAAATAACAAAGCTCTTTACAGAGAAAATCCAAGCCAGGTGCAAGAGGCTCTTGCTCCTCATAAAACACCTCATAAAAGCTATTAGTTTCTTTTGTTGTCTTCTTTTTCTAGTGAATTGCTTGGGCGGGACTTTTTGGCTTCTGTCCAATTGGCTATCTTTAAGTTTGAGGTGAAGTCCCCCAGGTCCTATGAGGTGTTCTTTTACCTAATTGAGGAGAGAAACTTCTGGGCTTTTTTCATTTTTAAGGAGACAGAGGATAATTTTGTCACTCCATCAACAGGGGGCACATTCCTACACTGTATGTGCTGTGCCCCAGTTCCAGCTGTGCTTTTGAGATTATCAGTATCCTCCAAGCAGAGATTTGGGGCTTTACCATGTGTTAGTTCACACATTTCAACATGGCTTGTGTCAGCTCACTTCCAGTTCCCCAGAATCTGCTGGCACAAGAACTACATTGTTACATTGACAAGCCCTCGAAAGTACTGCCAGAGCTTGGACGCGTGGCTTCAGGCATTCTGGAAAAGCAACTGAAACGCAGAATAATTTCATCTCTCCCAAGAGCAGGGACAACAACCCGAATGAACCTTTTTGTTCACTGTGTTTCCCAAACCAAATCAAACTTCACCGTAACTAATTTTTATAATGTGGCATTGCTGTTTGGGGTTGGTTTTATGTGAGTTTTTCTATGTCTCTGCAGAGGTTACGGGTTTGTGAAATTCACAGATGAACTGGAACAGAAGAGAGCGCTGACAGAGTGTCAGGGAGCTGTGGGGTTGGGCTCTAAACCTGTACGCTTGAGTGTGGCTATACCAAAAGCGTGAGTAGAAGAACAGCTGGACATTTATATGAAAAATCACATCTGGTTTTAAATGCCTTTTAGTGCTTTGGATACATGTCCTGGATGTGGCCATCACAAAATGAAAGAATACCCATGAATATGGGGAGTGTCAGAATGCCCAGGAATTCAAAAAAATTATAACATTAGCTCAAGACTAAGCATTTTACACTGTTTTAAATTGTATATATTGTTAAATCCTTACAGGTGTGCACACACTGTAGTTAAATATGATTGTTTTTAAAATGTATATTCCTTTGCATTAAATTGAAATCGTTTAAATCTTCTTAACGATGTCTGGATAGCAAAGCTCAACTACCTTGCTAATTCTATTATGATGTCTACTACACATAAGACTTTTGGGGCAGGGATTAACTTTTTTTTCTGTGTTTGTTCAGAACCTGATACAATGAGATCCTGGTCTGACTTGGGGCTCGTAGCACTAGGGTAATACGAATCATAGTAATTGCTCCCTATTTGAATAATATTTAGATTTTCAGTGACCTCATAAGGCTTGGCGGGGGGGGGGAAAGGAAGAGAAAAGCAGAAAAAATGGGTGCATTGTGGTGAGAAGATTGATGTTTCCTTCTTCCTGCTTCTCACTAATTTCATCATTAGTAGAAATAGCTTTATGTGTGACATATTTTCATTTCCAAACGATATTTGTCATCTCATTATTTCAATTCTTGGTAGTTTGGTGGAATGGTGTTCCTTGGGAATGCTGCCACTTCATAAAGTGGCAAGGAATAGGAATTTTAGTCATTTCTCAGGATATTTAAGTTTATTTTTTGATTACTAGTAGTTTGTATTTTATGAACTTTCTCAAGTCTCTGCATTGAACATCACCCAGTTCAGAGAGAAAGGGGATGAGTCCTTGCTTAGGCTTCTGTATGACAGTGGCAGAAGGGAAAGTTTTTTCCATTCTTACAAAAGAAAACGTGAGGTTTCTTGCCAGGCTTTAAGTCTTTAACTCTTCATGTAAAGCAGGTCTCAGTGCTTTCTCTCAGAAAGTTGCAGATCACTTAAATTCATCCTCTTTACCAGACAGAAGAAGGGACTCCAGTATCTGGATTGTGGTTCAGGATTATTCTAAACTGAAGCTCATAGTCCTGAACTCTTCCCTTCCCAAAGCCAGGAAGTGATATCCAATTAGATCATAAAGAATGAAAGTCATGTTTATTAATGAAGAGGAATATGAATACAGGGAAGGGTATTAAATTTAAATAACTTCTTTATGCAAATAATAAATATTGCTGCAGTAAATGGTGAATATATTTTAAAGATTGAAATTTGCTTGTTAGACTAAACCTTGTGTCTTTACCACATTGTGTCTTAAGCTGTTTCACTGCTTTTTTCATACTTGTTCTATTTTATTGCAATTTTTAAAAATGGTTTATTGCTATTTTATTGCTATTTTTATCCCGCTTTATTTTTGAAGTAATCGTGTGAAACCAATGGAGTACAATCAGATGTACAACTATAATTACAACCAGTATTACCAACAGTATCACAACTACTACGCTCAGTGGGGGTACGACCAGAACACGGGCAGTTACAGCTACAGCTACCCCCAGTATGGCTACACGCAGAGCACCATGCAGGTAGGGCAGCACAAAACCACAGAGCTTGAAAGGTGGGATGGGAACATCTCATCTTCAGTTCTGAGAGTCACAGAATGTCCTGAACTGGAAAGGACCCACAGGAATCATTGAGTCCAGCTCCTGGCCCTGCCCAGCACACCCCAACAATCCCACCCTGTGCCTGAGAGCATTGTTCAAATGCTCCTGGAGCTGAGGCAGCCTTGGGACCGTGACTATTCCCTGGGGAGTCTGTTCAGTGCCCAAGCTCCTTCTGGGGGAATAATCTTTTCTGGATATCCAGCCTGACCTCCCCTGACACAGCTCCAGCCATTCCCTCAGGTCCTGTCCCTGGTCATGGAGAGCAGAAATTGGAGCTGTACCTCAGGAGGAGCTGCAGACCCTAATGAGCTCTGTCCTCAGTCTGCTCTGCTCCAAACTGAACACACCAAGAGATCTTAGTATATACCTTTTGATAATGAAGTCTTAATATTGCTACTATTTAGTGTTTAGCCCCTGGTGTGTCCTGTTGCATTATGGAGAGTATATTGCTGAGGTAAAAAAAAGTCTGGAGGACACAAAAGGACTCTTAGTACAGTTGTGATGGTAGAAGAGTACAGGTACAGGCAGTGCTCGGAGTGCCTTTGGGATCCTTCATAAGCTTTGTTATAAAGGATAGAACACATCAGAACAGTCACCCCACTTCAACCCTGGAATTTCAAGAACTAACTCTGATAGAAGTTTAGTGTAGGGTCTTGCCTGTGGAGTGTTAAGAATGGAATACAGGCTTAGGTGTGAAAAATTCTGATGTAATAACTCCAGTATAAAAGTAAGTCTCTGACTGTACTAATCAGCAAGCAATGTTTGCAAAAGAAAAGATAATTATCCACTGTCCTAAGGGGTTTGTTTTTCCTTGCAGACATATGAAGAAGTTGGTGAGGATGCATTGGAAGGTATGTTTCTCAAATTGAAGTTGTCTGTATGTTCTGCACTGCTTGGAGATAGACTTTCTCATATTGGCCCTAATTTCAATTTATAATATACCTTTATCTTTGAGTAAATCTGAGAACATTTGTGAGTCACTGTCACCTAGAACAGTTGCATCCTGGTTTTACTGTTGCTGCTCCTATTCTGAACCTGGTGAGGACTGAAACTCTTTGACTTCCCCAGCACTGAGATTTTAACCTTCTGTAGTACTGAAATTGTTATCCTTTTTTTACTAGGGTTTCTTTTTCTGATATGCTACCAAGAAAAAAGTAGATATTCTGGTTTTCTATAAAATTCTGACATTTAGAGCCCAGAATACTTCATTGTGCTTTTAGTTTACAAGTAAAAGGGAATAATATTAGTCACCACACTGATAAAATATTTCAAGCAGTTGTTGCTTGAAATGGGTCACTAAACCAGATTGGGGTTTTAGATACCTGTACAAGTAGCTTTCATTTATTGATGCATGAAACTATAATTTCATGCCAGCCATTCCAGATTTCTGTCTTGAGTGCAATATGCACTATGCAGTGTATCTTACTCTATTCTTAAAAAACAAAAAAATTAAAAATTGCATAGTAACAGATCTACAAGATTCACAGGTATGCATGATGATGTGTGTGGAAGCTGTTAAAAGCATTCTAGGAGAGCTTTCCTTTTGCTGAACCAAACATACCGGGACTAGAATTGGGATATCTCTGGATATTTCTTTTCCTGATTGATTAAATGAAAGATTCATACCTTTGTAGGAAACTGAATTAATGTATTGTCACTGTATCATTCCTTTTCCTTAAATCTCTTCTCCTGTAATGTGTTACAATATGACATAGCTAAAACCAAACATAAAATCCTGGAATGGTTTGAGTGGAATGGAACTTCTAAAGCCATCTTTATCCACCCACTGCCATGGCCAGGGACATCTTTCACTTGACCAACCTGGCCTTGGACATTTAAAGAAATGGGTCAACCACAGCTTCCCTGGGCAACCTGTGCCAGGGCCTCACCTCCCTCACAGGGAAGATACATGTTTACAAACATTTTGTTCCTGATGTGTTTTAGAGTCTTCCCAATCCTTCAGCTTTGTACTGAGAGTCATTCACTGACCTTTGTGATTGCTCTGATAACCTGAGCTTTGGGTTGCTGGTGTTGTCAGGTGAGCTTTACACCCTACAGGGGTTTGGGGAGTCCATCACTGTGCATTCAGAGCGGCAGGATTGGACCTGCACACTTGTTGTCCAGCTCCAAAATGCTTTCCAAACATTTGTTCTACATGTAAAATAGGGCTATGCTCACCATGATGCTGTGGTGCCACTGACACTCCTTTCATTCCTAGCTGTGACTCCAGCTTTGAACTGCTGGAGGCTTTGGCAGATGAGCTCTGGTGGCTGCTTGCAGCAGCACAGAATGTTCCCATCCATCCATCCATCCATCCATCCATCCATCCATCCATCCATCCATCCATCCACCCATCCACCCATCCATCCATCCACCCATCCATCCATCCACCCATCCACCCATCCATCCATCCACCCATCCATCCATCCACCCATCCATCCATCATTTGTGACCTCACAGTGGAGGGAGCAGAAAGGAATGAGTGTCCCTGCCTCTGTTTCTGCCCTTTTCATCAGGACAAATCCCTTCTGGTGGTGCAGGTGGCTGCACTGGGCTGTGAGGTGCAGTTGTGTGTTCCCTCCACTGGCTGTCCTGTGGGGCAATCACTGTTGTCAAAAGGGACATGTGTGGATGTAGTTATTCCTTATCTCATTGCAGAGAAATTGAATAGGACTGATTGGGTCAGGTTTATGATTGGGCAAGTGCTGGGAATGTTTGGTGACTCACAGAATCACAGAATACTTGGGGTTGGAAGGACCTCTGGAGATCATCCAGTTCAATTCCCTGCTAATGCAGGCTTACGTAGAGTATGGGACACAGGAACACATCCAGGTGGGTTTGGAAAGTCTCCAGAGAGGGGAGACTTTCCACACCCTCCCTGGGAAGCTGTTCCAGTGCTCTGCCACCCTCCATGAAAAGAGCTTCTTGTTCATGCTGAAGTGGTTGCTCCTTGTCCTGTCAGTGGCACCACTGAAAAGAGTCTGGCACTGTCCTCTGACACCTTCCCTGGAGATATTGAGACTCCCCCCATGTTTGTTTTAATATACCAACTTGTTTACAGGGTGTTTTTTTTCTGAACACCTTTGATGCGTGACATATTTTCTGTTTTTCCTTCCATAGATCCCACACCTCATTTAGATGTCCATGAAGCAAACAAGCAGTTTATGGAACAGAGTGAAGAGCTCTATGATGCCTTGATGGACTGTCATTGGCAGCCTTTGGACACTGTCTCATCAGAGATCCCAGCTGTGTTATAGCCTCGTTGCTGAGGTGTCTGTGAGATCCTCCCAGTGCGCTCCAGACTGTTACACTGCCCCGGATCCTGCACTTGTGAGGGGTGGCCCTTTCCCCACCCAGGCCAGGTACTCAGAGTACAGGAGGACTGTGGCCTTTCCTGTAGAGAACAAGTATTGTAGGAGCATCACGGTAACCTTTATTCATGGTGAAAATTAGAACTGCGACAGTTTTATTCCTTTTGTCTTGAAATGAACTCTTAATACTTACTGGGAATTGTAATTTATAAACTTTCAGCAAGATGGCACAGGAGAGAGACTCTACTCCATCGTACAATAAAAAAGTTGGTCTTTTAAGTAAAATTACCCTTTGCAATTTGGTTCCTGCCCATCTTTCTGCTTTGCTGCCCATTCAACTGTCTTAAGTCGTTTGACCCAAGGCTCATGAATGTGTTATTTCAAAAAAGATCATTTTTAGACACCACTAAAATATCTCAAGATCTTTCCAGTGACTGGGTAAGGTTGCTGTAACTTGAGCATGGGATGAAAGCTTATGTTGTGGTTAACTTAAGCTGTGATCTTGAGCTTGCAAGTTTGATATTCTTAAGCAATCAACCCAAAGAGCACGTTGGAGAGCAAAGGCAGAAAGGAGTGTTATAAAGCTTTTACCTGGTGGTATTTTGCACACCTGGCCTGCTTCTCCACCTGTGTATGAGGAAATAATTCCCCATGAACCAGCAGTTTAAAACACTTTTTCCAGCAACCATATTTAAATGTCATTTTGTGTATCATGCCTATTTTTTTTTCATTGTGGACACAGCATGATGGTCTCATTGAGATGATGAGATTTTGTAGTGTCTTCCACTGTCCAGTCAGAGTGAAACTTAAGATCTTGCAGCAAAAACGGGTCAGAGCAATTGCCATGATATATTGTGCAACAAATGGTTGTTAACCTGGAAAGCAGTTTTTTACTGGATGTTGTATAAGCTGGATGGACAAGCGATATATTTAAACTGATATGTTGCATTAGAGGTGAAAGTGAAAATAATAGCACTTATATACATGTTATAAGCCCTTTTTCAGGCTTTTGTGCCTTAAACTCTTGGAGAAATAGGAACAGAGAAACTACCTGTAATAAATGTCTATCCAGGGAATAGTTTGGTAACTGAAATTGCTACTGCAGAGCATTTCCTACTGCAGTTGCCTCCCTGCCCATGTTGATGCAGAGATTTACCATAAAATTTAAATACTTTGATAAAGTTACTTCTACTACACCTTTGTTTGTGTCCATAATTATGACCTATTTGTCAGTCTGTGGTCTCTTTTTTATCAACTGGAAGTGGGATGTGAGGGGAATGGTGATGTGACTGGAGTTGAGTTATTCCTAATGAGTGACTAGAGGAACTAGAGGACTGCTGGACTCCTGCGTTCTCATCTGCTGTGAATTTTCCTCATGCTGTGCCCCTGACGTGCTGCTGTCTCACCTTCAGTTGCTCTGAATGTAAGGAAAGGAATGTTCCCTGCATATGCCAGGAGTTTCGGAAGCAGCAGAAGTGGAAGAGAGCAGAGCTTTATATCCTCTGATATATCCACTCGCTCAAGACACCACCTCTTCTTGGGAAGTTCAGCAGAGTGACATTGCAGAAATTATGTAAAGAAGGGCATTTAAAACACTTTCTAGATAATTCTGTTACTATGCTGCCCTGTATGCCTGCCCTTCTATTTTGGAGTTGTCTTTTCCTACCCCCCATGAATTTTGGCTTTTACAATGTGGCAATCCCATTTTCCTCCGGGGGGTGAAGCTGCATTTATTTATCAATATAAATTTATTCTGCTGTTCTCATCTGCCTAGCATTGCTGTCTGTGGAGTATTCCCTAATGCCTGGGTAAACTCTTACCTATACAAGTCTGTCTGTAGACGAGAGAGGAGCAGGTTATCAGGGATCAGACAGCAACCCTATGGGAAAATCCTTTTGCTCTCTGCTTTTGTTTTGTGGTGGAAAGAAAAATGGTAAATATTCATCCAGCCCATCCTAACCCCTAATTCCTGGGAGAGCTGGGCATGTACAGCCCCTTGTGAGGAATAATTTGGGAGTGCAGAAGCCAGCAGAGATGACCTGCTGAGTCCTGTTTACTGGTGCTGCAGAGCTAAAAATAGCTCCAGCTTTTGTTTCAGGAGAGAGGTGGGTGCAAGGCTCTGGGCTTCGTTCCCTGGAAGTATGAGCCAGGCTTTTGGGGTTGCTTGGGAGAATCTCAGCCAAGGTTGTTTGGAGCTGTTAAACCTCTGCATTATTTGGGTTTGTTTTTTTTTTTAATATCACTTACTCATCTTAATGTTCATTTTCAGCTTCTGGCTATTATTGCTGTGTCTTATATAGTCTTATATATAAAAGGAGAGACTTTTATATGGAGCTAGAAAACAGCCACCTCCTGAGATGTGTACGGTTTTCCTTGTGGAATCCCAGTTAAATAGAGAGTGGGATTTTGTTTTTCCTGGATGGCTACAGGAAAAGCCCAGATTAATTACCACTTAGTGTCAGACAGGATGACAGTCAAGGACTCCATTTAGTAAGGTAAATTCTCCTTTTATCTCTATGTGCTAAAGGCAAGAAGTCCAAGGCAGATGATATCACAGCTCCTGAAAATAGCATCCGTATCAGCAACAGAGATCAAGAAGCCCTCTGCCCTTCAGCAGGCAGGGTTTATAGCAAGTCCAAAAACAACTCAAATATGCTTATTGTGTTCTTTGATGAAGATGAGATCATCCAATTTAGATTAAAGTGTAGGGACTTCGATTCTCATTTGAGTTACACACACTGGGAATGTTCAGCAGAGCTGGAGGAATATTGGTGTTTTAGGACACAGGGGAGTGATTTCCAAAGGGCTGAGCTCTGAGGCTGCAGGAAGGGCTCTTGCCATTAGTCTGTGTTTAATTAAAAGCTTGACAGTACACATTGGAGTGGCCTGGGGACAATCCTGACCCACTTCCAAAGGGATGAGGAGTCTGGAAGCATTTCTTTAGCAAATGATAAGAGGGCTGAAAGGGGCTGACAGTGATGGGGTTTTTTCCATGTGAATCTGACTAGAGAAAATTCCTGTTACTTGGATCAGTTTCTGGAGACAGGTTCATATCCCACATACTGAGACATACACAACACCCTTAGGAATTTCTCTAAATCTCTTTTGAGGAACAGAAATAAATATTTGACTCTAATCTTCCTGTACTGGCTATCTCAATCTCATTGCTGCTTGTTAATCTTCAGTTTTTGCTAAACAAGATCTGAGAGAAATTTTTATGTTCCTGCCTTGCTATCTTCCAGTGATCTTATAAAGCTTACTGGATACACCCATTTCTGGGTTTAACTTGGGAATTGCTTAACCATCAAACTAATTCAGTGGCAGGATGGGGTGTGAATTTGAAATGCAGTAGCAGGAACTGATAGAGCTGCTTCGGGAAATGTCACTGACAGAGCTCACTTTCCTTTTTTTCCTGGTTAGAACATTTTTTCAGAAAATATCTTTTTTTTTTTTCTTCTTCTTCCTTAGAAGTTATTCCAAGTCAAAATGTTTTTTCCAAGTGCAGTCAGTTTTTTAAGTAGGTGTTTGGGGTCCTGCTCAGCACACACTCATTTTTCCCAGGCACATGGTGGGATTCTTGGGGTGTTCTGTGCAGTTCTGTTGGATTTGATGATCCATGTGAGTCCCTTCCAAATCAGGATTCTATCATGATTCTATCATTCAAAGATCATGCTGACTCTGCTGTAAAATTTCCAGGGAAAAAGCAATGGTGGATAACATAATTGGTAGAGATTGAGAGCTGACCACGGCCAAGATTTGCTTCAGCCCCTTGATGTGTTCCAGGGAGCCATAGGCACAACAATCCACCTGGATCACTAATGCATTCCTGCTTTTCCTTACTGATAGTTTTCACATCTCTGTGCATTGTCTGCTCCCATCTGTCAGGTGCTGGGAACTGCAGCCTCTCCCAGCATGTGCTCTCTGTTCTGTGCTGTGAGAGATTCTCAGGAGGTTTCATCAGGGCTTCGCTGACCATGGACATGCAGTGGGATTTTTCTCTGCCCCTTTTGGATCTCCATCCATCTTGTCATGGCAGGCTGATGTCTGCTGGGCATCCAGTACTTTTCATTGCTGCTCTTTGGGGATTCTCCCAGTTCACCATTTGGAAGAGTCTCTTCCCAAGCAGTCTTTGCCAAGGTTTGAATTTCTGGGGAAGGTTGATGTTTTTTCCAGAGTAATCTCCCAGGCTTTACTTTACCCTAGGATTTGACATGATTTTTAGGCTCACGTTGTATCAGTGGCTGTGCCAAGGAGACTCCAGGGATTGCCTTGTGCCTTGGCAGAGCAGCTGTGAGATCCATGTAGGAGGAGAATGGGAGCAGCTTTACCTTGTCCCTGACAGCTTTGGCAAGAGCTGTCTTGGGGAGAGTTTGGCCACACAAAGTTTGGGGCTTGTTAAATGACTGAGGGTTTATTTTGTTGCTGATCTGCCATGTTTGATGGAATTACCAGCTCAAAAGGCCATTGCTGAATACTGGGAATTTTTTCATCTGTTCATTTGCTCAGAACAGATTAAAATATGACCATCCATTTTGCCCTTTCTCCAGGACTTGGGCAGGAAGCACTCTCAGGCATTTCCAGCTGATTTCCCGCTATGGCTGTGCCTTCAGCATCAGCACCAGCAGCAGTTCCAGCACTTCCTTCCAGCCCATTGACAGGTGCTGCCATTTTAAATACTTTCTACGAATCATGAAAAAGGAGCCTTATAGAGGTATTGTGTTGGCAAACAAACTTCTGTTTCCAAGAACCTTTCCTTCTATTCCCCGAGGGTGGAGTGTTCCCTCCACCCCGTTCCAAAAGGGAGGAAGGAGAAGGGGAAATGCAGCTGCTGTTTTCAGCTTTTCAAAGAGCGGCCCCTGGTTTGGACCTTGCACGGAGAAGGAGAGAGAAATTGTACTTGTCCCACCCGGACTGGAGAGTCATTTAGATGGGGTGGGGTGGGGGTGTACAGCTGCTCCCAGTGCTAGTGGGAGTTGAGAATCATGGGATTATGAAATAGTTTGGGTTGGGAGACGACTGAAAGCTCATGTCATTCCACCCGCTGCCATGGGCAGGAGCACCTGCCACTAGAGCAGATTGTTCGGGAGTCTCGTTTATCCTTTGGCACGGGGCGGAGCGGGGGCTGGAAGGCAGCAAGGCAGGAACGATGCTTGGGACTGCAGGCAGCGCCACCTACAACTCCCAGAAGCCTCTGCGGGAGAGCCCGGCACCAGCAGCCAATCGGAGCCCGCGCTGCCGCGCTATAAAAAATGGCCGCGGACGGGTTTCCTCCTCTTTCTGCCATGGTGGCGGGCTGGGGAGGGTCTGCGGCGGCCATCGGGAACCATCCACCGCCATCCGTCGTCTCTGGGGCTCTCCCGCCACTCGGCTCCGCCGCATCGGCGCCCTGTGGGCATGGCGTCCGGCGGCGGCGTTTCGGTGCGCTTCGAAGGCTGCGAAGGGCAGCGCGGCCTTGCCCCCGCCCTCTTCCTCAGGCCAGGCCCGGCCCCGGGTGAGTGAGGGACCCTCGAGATTGAGCTAATGCCCTGTCCCGGGCCAGGCGGCCGCGGGTGGAGAAGCCGCCCGGCCCTATCGAAGCTGCGTCTGTCGGTGCGGTGGTAGATGCAGTCAAAAAGGAGCCGAGAGCAAAAGGATTTTCCTCGACGGTCGCCGCTCAGTTGGAGCCTTCGTAACTGTCCGGCAACATTTCGGGAAAGTACATGGCCCGCCATGGGCTGGGGTGGCTTACTGGTGCTGGAAGGAGGCGGCTGCTTCAAATCCTGCCCCTGGGGTCCAAATTGATGCGCGGCGTGGGGGAGGGGGAAGGAGTGTATCTCATCTTCCTGTACTTTTATTTTAACTTACTTCTTTCGCAATTTGCTTAAAGCCCTCTTCTTTCCCAGCAGCATCCTGGCGTAGAAGGTGATCCCGGGACATGGGATGGCTGGTGACAGCCTCAGCTTTGGGCAGGTGAGATGGACGATCCTGGTTCTGGGGTCCTCTTTTGAGAGGCTGAGAATTGGTTGGCTTTGAGGCCTCCCTGGACCAGAGTAGGAACCAGCAGCGTTTCCTGCCCCTCTGCTGTTGGGCAGTGGCAGCATGTGCTGTTCCGAGGTTGTGCTTCCTCCACGGGGCTTGTCCTTGGGGCTGGGCCCTGCAAACTCCCTTGGTACTTGCTCCATCCAGACGATGTATGGGTGAGATGAGGGCAGTTCCTCTCTCTGGGACCGGCTAGAGGCAGAACTGGGTGTCAACCCTGATCCCAGAGCCAGTCAATCACTCAATCACAGACTTTACCAGATGAACTCTGTGTTAACCTGCATGTTAATCCAAGAGCTGTGGCTCCATGCAGTAGCTGCAGGTCTCCAACAACATGCCAGAGCAATGGGAAGGTCTTTGACTGCTGGGCCTCTTCTGCCTATGGCTGTCACTCACCCCTCCAATACATTTTTGGGAATTGGGCTGTTCCTTGTTTAGGATTCCAGGGTGCAATGAGTCAAAGGTGTGTCCACAAAAGTCTGCAGCCTACTGCTGATATTGGGGGTATGTTGTGATGTCTTCCAGGGGTCCTGCGTGTTCCAGAGCTCACCCATCTGATGGACAGACCCAGGTGAGAGGGTAGTACCCTTGTTGAAACTCCACAGCCCATCCCTCCAAATCCCTTTCCCACCAGATCTGAATACCGATCTTGTGGTCGAAAAAGGAGGAAGAGTAACATTCATGCTGGTCTTAGGGCTCTCAGCAGGTGTGTCCTATGCTGAGAGGGGCCACTGGGAAGACAGGCTGCGCTGGCCTCACTATTTTGGGAATTCTGGTTAGGAAGGAAACTCCTGGTCAGGAGAATGGATAAACATGGGGCACGGGGGGGCAGACATGCCATGAGGGTTGGGGGGGCTGGAATTCGTTGGGAATATCTGAGCCATGGATTTACAGTAACCCATTGGCTTCACGCACTAAACTCCAGCTCTGTTTTTTCAGCAGTAACTCTGTGGAAAAAGACTAAAACCTGTGAGCCCTGTCCCAAGGGCTTCAGCTTGCTTTCTGTAGGACCTGAGTTGTGAGGAAGCTGCAGTGTGGAGCATGTGAGTGTTCTCTGGAGAACTCCTGGTGTTGGGGTGGGCAGTAAGTGGAAACTAGATACTGGGAGGAATTTCTTGGCTGTGAGGGTGAGAGGGCCACGGTTGCCCAGAGAAGCTTTGGCTGCCCCATTCCCTGAGGTGTCCAGGGCCAGGTTGGATGTGACTTAGGCTGTCCTGGTCTGGTGGAGAGTATCCCTGCCCCTGGCTGGCTGTGGAGTGGGGTGAGCTTTTGAGGTGCCTTCTAACCCAAACCATTCTGGGATTGTGTGATCTCGAGTGGGGTCTGGAGGGCAGGGGCCAGCTCAAGCTGACTGCTGGAAGTGTCCAGTTGTTCACCTGGACTGTGCAGGTGGGAATGATCACCTTGTTTCCAAGGCTTTTCATTGGCCAGTTGTGCTCTGTGGTGCAGGGCGTGGGTGAGATCAGTGGCAGTGCAGCCTGGTCCATGATGATTCCTGAGTCTGGAGACTGCTGGATGAGTCCTGCGGATATGGGGCTGAGGCCAGGCAAGAACTGCCCAAAACCACAGGGCAGGGAGGGGACATCCAGGAGTTCTGGAATGTGGATGGAATCTCACAACAGTGCTGAGCCTGACTGCTCATCCCTCAGCTGGATTCTTTTTTATCCCTTTTTTCAGGTCTAAGCAGAGGATGAACCATCCCTGATGGACTTGGTGCTGCCGTGCCAGACTGTTCTTTCCCAGCCCTCTCCTCCAGAAGTGGGAGCTCTGCAGAGCCAGATCCTGGCTCCTTCCTGAGCTGTGAGCTCTGCCAAGTGGGATCAGCCACTTCTGGGCTCCCCTCACCTGCAGTGGAGGGAGGTAGAACTGATTTGGCTCCAGGTATATCTGAAGCTCTGGTTCAAATACTCCACCTGGAAGAACAGTCTGTTCCATAGAGTTTTTCTCAGGAGGGGGTCTGGATATTAAATACTTGATTGGAGGAGAGAGCCAGTAATGCCAAGGTGGTGGGTTTGATCCCTATACAGGCCATTTGCTTAAGAGCCGGACTCAGTGATCCATGTGGGCCCCTTCCAGCTTGGAATATTCTCTGTGTGTGATAGGAGTTTGAATAAATGCAATTACTGCAAATCTTTATGGTGTCTCCAGTGTTTGAGTTGCATTGGGATGGGGTGAGGCTGGGCTGGCTCTGAGCCGTGGAGCCTGAGGATCCCCTTCCAGTGGAGTTCACCGGTGCTCAGACACAAGTTCCTGTGCTTGCTGTAGCACCTGCCGGTGGGATGTCCCCCACAGGGGTCCCTGGAATGCAGAAACACCGTGGGCCTTCATGGAGGGGCTAGAGCAGCTCATTGCAACCTCGGAATGTTCCAGCACCCTCAGCTGGGGAGTTGGTGATTCTGGCTGCCTGTTTTCTCACCATGGAGAAAAATTGGTAGTGGGGAGCTGCAGCCTCTGAGTTGGAGCCACTCTTATTTCTGTCCCTGGGTGGCTGGGCTGTGACAAAGTCCCTGAACCTGAGGTAAATGTTTGTCCTGAAATAATTGGGCTGGTGCCTCTGACTCCTCTGGTCTCCTACCTGCAGGTCTTGAGAGCCCCTTCCCTGTGGAGCATTTCTCAGGATCTTGGCTCCTGGGGACAGCAGGGGGTCTGCACTCACTGCCTGGTTGTCCCTGTTGTCACCAAAGCCAGGCAGTGGAGACATAAGAGACTGCCAGTAGAGGTGGGCATCCAGAGCTGGCATGTGGCCACACTAAACGTCCTGGCCACAGCAAATGGAGACTAAATGCCAATGTGATCAGAGCTGAAGCTGTGCTGCTGCCAAGGTTTGAAATGCTGGGCTGTTGCTAGGGTTTGTGATTTGGAGTTTGGTGGTTGGGAAACAGGTAAATGGATAAAAATCGTTTTAAAAACAAGGGAATAAAAAAGGCAAGTAAATAAATTCAGTGGTTTTCTTAAGTGGTTAAGAGAACTATGCAGCAGCTCCAAAGCCTTTTTTGTTTGTACACCTGAGAAGAAAACTTAAACTTCTTTCCTCAGTGTTACCAGGAAGGATGAGGACAGAACTGGCAGCTGCTCCCTCCCTGGGACAGTTTGTTTGTCTGTCCGGGTGACTGCGGGGCCGGAGCCGTCCTTGTCCCGCGGTGGGGTGGGGACAAGGGTGGAGACCTGTCTGTCGCTGTTAGCACAGCAGGAGCACGGTGGGTCGGGATCGAGTCAGCTCAGCCATGGAGACAGTGACAGATTTCCCCCAGGATCCTGAGCCCGGGGGACACTTCCAGTTCCGTGTCATCGTGCTGGGAGATGCAGCGGTGGGCAAGTCCTCCCTGCTGCGCTGCTTCACTCGTGGGCCGGCTGGGGGTCCTGGTGGGGCAGCCAGGCCACGCCCCACCGTCGGCGTCGAATTCTACAGCCGGACTATCCCGATGCCACCCACCGGCAAGGCCAAGCTGCAGCTCTGGGACACGGCTGGCCAGGAGCAGTTCAGGTGAGGCGGGCATGGGGACCCCAGCATGCCAACCGAGTCATCTTCCCACTCTGGGGTGTTTGTAAATCCCCAGCTGGGTGTGAAGGGACAGACAGCAATGGCTCACTGGGATGGTGATTCTTTAGGGGCCAGTGATGCCTTGTGCTGAGCTTGCAGTGACACTGTAGTTGTTCAGGGGAGCAGCCAAGGGAGCAGGGCCAGGTGCTTGTTGCTGTGTGCTGGTGGTGGGGTGGGGCTGGTGGTTTCTTTCCTGATTGCATCAGGCTGGAGTCAGGACCACCTGGGAATGTGAGAGGCTCAAATGGGGCATGAAGGGCTGAAGACCAAAGTGCTGTGGCTGGAGCTGGGCTCCCAGGCCCCCCCCATCCCTGGGAACCTTTTGGGGACCGGAGGGTTGGCTCTGGTGATGCCCTATTTCTGTTCAGTGCTGCCCCATCCCCACAGATCTGGGGCTTTTGCAGGGATAAACAGTACCACAGAGTCCCTGAAAACCCCGCAGATCTCCTCCGGAGCCCCCCAGTCTGGGGAGAGGGATGCCCAAAAGAAAATGGCAGTGTAAATGCCCAAGACAGGTCTCCCTTTCCCACTCCTGAAGTCTGATCTGTCACCCAAAAATCTCCCAAGCCCCATCCTAGGGTTGTTGGTGTTAGAGCTTCCCAGTATCCTTTGAAAACCTGCTGGGTATGCTCAGATCCATCACCAAGTCCTTCTACCGGAGTGCGGCGGGGGTGCTGCTGGTGTTTGACCTCATCAACCGAGCATCTTTTGAACACGTTCCTGAGTGGTATCACGAGGCTGCAGGGGACGAGCTGCCTGCCTTTGTCCTGGTGGGACACAAGTGTGACCTGGTGGATGAGCGAGCTGTGTCAGCAGAGGAAGCTGGACACCTCGCCGCCACTCTGGGCATGGCCTTCGTGGAGACCTCGGCCCACAGCAACCTCAACGTGGAGTTGGCCTTCCAGACACTGGCTGGAGGTATCCAGCAGGCACTGGGCCAGGGGATCCTTGCCCCACACCAGGGATGTCATGGCATCAGGCTCATCCCCAGCCAGAGTCACCGCCAGCCCCTGGCAGGGAGGAAGCCCCACAAGCGCTGCCAGTGCTGATGGGGATAGGGGGACGTGGGACCCCCAGTTGTGGGGATGCTTCTCTCTCCACCCAGCACCTGCAGCCCTTGGGTGACCCATGAGGGTTCAGTCTCCCACCTGGGCTTGGGTTTATTTCAAACCTTAATTTGGGGGCTCTGAAAAAAATAGTATTCTGCTGTAGGAGTATTTTTAATAAACTTAACGCTTTTTCACATTAAATAAAGGCTGTGCCAAGCACTTAATCCCAGGCAGGGGCACAGCACTCAATCCATGGCATGGGGGATTGTCTGCTTTGGGGGGCATCACTGGTGGGGCAACAGCTCCCCTTGTCTGGGACACTTTTCAGGGTGTCCTGTCCATGGGAAAATGGGAGCAGGCACCCCTGAGTAGTTCCTGCTGGATAGAGCCAAAGTAAAGGGGACAAAGGGGCTCCAAAGGGGCCACACGGCACCAATGGTACTGGGAACGCCTCCTGGGTGGAGGAGCTCCCTGCCTGCCTGAACACGCTCCTGGTGCGGGGGCGGCAGGTCCTGGCAGGCGGCAGAAGCACCGATGGAGCCACGGTGGCAGTACCAGTTCCGAGTAATCATGCTGGGGGACTCGACAGTGGGGAAATCCTCACTGCTGCGGCGCTACACCGAAGGTGCCTTCCTGGACACTGTCAACCAGACTGTGGGGGTGGACTTCTACGTCCAATTCGTGGAGCTGGAGCCAGGGCTGCAAGTGAAGCTGCAGTTCTGGGACACAGCCGGGCAGGAGAGGTTCAGGTGGGTCCATGGGGTCAGGAGGGGTGGTGGAGATGGGTGTCCCCCTCCAGATTTGGGGTGGAGTGTTGTGATTCCAAGCCCAAGGAGGCTGTTGATGTGGCTGTGTTCCCACTTGTCCGTTTGGGTGAGGAACCACCATGTCAAAAGCCAAGGGAAAGGAGCCCTTGGGACTGCCTTGTAAGCCCTTGCTCCAGCTCTAAAGGGGGTACAGTACTCCCTCAAGAGCCCCCTTGCCACACCAGCTGCAGAAGGACTGACGAGCAGCTGGGAACCCACTGAGGGCTGGGCAAAGCTTCTTCCTCAGCTGCTAGGAGCCTTACACCTCCTTGTGGGGCTGTCTCCACCAGCCAGGCAGCTCCTGGGAACAGGAAAGCTTGGGAGATGTTGGCTGCAGGGGATGAGAGTGGCAGATCTGGGTATGCAGGAATGGGAAAGTTCCAGGACTGTTGCAGCAGAGATGGGAAAATACTGGGAACATGGCAGCAGGGACAGAAGAGTTCCAGGACCATGACAGCAGGGATGGTGGAGCCCTGGGGACATGGCTGCAGGCACAGGGGCACTTGGGGGCTGTGGCTGCAGGAGACAGATGAGCTATGGTGGCTGAGGACAGAGCTGCCCCTGGAGTCCTTATTGACACAGCAAAAGGCTGATTCTCACCCCTCTCATGGTGCTTTGAATGCAAGATGGGTGCTGCTTGCAGGAGCAGGTCCTAGACAGGGCCACTCTGTAGGCAGGGAACATGCTGCCCGAGGTGCCACAGGAAACCCCAGGGGCCACTCACTCCCCTGCTCTCGGTGTCCCCACCCCAGGTCTGTGACTCGCTCCTACTACCGCAACTCAGCCGGGGGGATGCTGCTTTTCGACATCACCAACCGCACATCCTTTGAGAGCATCCGGCAATGGCACCAGGAGGTGACTGACACCATCCAACCCTTCCGCATGGTCTTCCTGCTGGTGGGGCACAAGAGTGACCTGGCTGGGCAGCGCCGGGTGGGCCAGAGGGAGGCGGAGAAGTTGGCAGCCTCACTGGGTGTCCAGTATGTGGAGACCTCAGCCAAAGATGCTTCCAATGTAGTCCAGGCCTTTCAGATGCTGACAGTTGCCATTTACCAAGCGCTGCAGACGGGGCAGTTGGTGGCCACTGAGGCGTGGGACGGGGTGAAGAGCAGCATCCCACTGCCAGTGCTGCCCAAGGCTCAGGCACAGGAGAAGGAGGAGAAGCGGAAGAGATGCTTGTGCTAGAGCTAAGGACACTGGCAAGGCAGGGACATGCTGGGCTCAGGCAGGGGTGCCATTGGAAGCGCGTTGGAAGCGTGAAGTCCCCAGGTGGAAGCCCACAGGCTTGCAGAGGTCAATGTTACCCTTTCCCCTATGCTCTCTTGTACTGACTGAGATCCCTACCATAAAGCCCTAAATCTTTAAGTCTTTCCAAACAGAATTAAAAGTGACAAATTTATCGTGGAACTCAGATGATGTATCTGCCACTCCGGCTGAGTACATGCCTAGTTGAGCCCAAAGCAAAAATAACCACATACCATTCTGAGGAAATGCCCACTTTCCCTTCCGGGTTAATCTTCATACAATATAATTTGAAAAAAACCTTCTCTACAAGGTTGCAGAAAGGAGCTCCCCAGGCTCCTCATCCCACAGCGACATGAGGAGTGACACCAAGATGGTCATGGGATCACTTCACCCCCCCTGGTTTCCCCTGCAGGTACCGGGAGCCTCCAGAGAGCTGGGCAAGGAGGATGAGCCCAGCTCTGCCTAGGGCTGCAGAAGCCTTCCTGAGCCTTCCTGTCATGCAGGGGTTTGCACTGCTATCAGCTCCTGCATCCCCACAACAGCCCCTGCAGCTCCTCTGAAGTCTGAGCAGAGCAGCGGGAACAGCCAAGGGCATGTGGCCTTTCCAATGTCCAGGCACAAACAGAATCAGGGGGACTCTGACTTCCTGCTTTGTCACAGCATCCCCCTCCCAACAGTGCTAATATCCCAGCAATGGGTTGGAGGTCAGGAGGGAAATGACCCCGCCATCCTGACTGGCAGGGAAGGGACTGGCCAAATTCTTGTGGTCTAGAAAGGTCTGGAGGGGAGGAACCCTCTGGAAGAGCAGCTGAGGGCACTTGGTTTGTTCACCCTGGAGGAAACAGGGGAGACTCAGCAGCACGTGCAGCTCCTCCCAAGTGACACCTCCAGTCTCTGCTCCCTGTGACCAGACAGGACCTGAGGGAACAGCTGAAGCTGTGTCAGGGGAGGCATAGATTGCATATTAGGAAACAGTTCTTCCCACAGAGGGTGCTCGGGCAATGACCAGGCTCCCCAGGGAATAGACACAGCCCCAAGGCTGCCACAGTTTCAGAGAGCGTTGGACAGTGCTCTCAGGCATAGGGTGGGATTGGTGGGGTGTCCTGGGCAGGCCAGGAGCTGGACTCAATAATCCTTGGGGATCTTTTCCAGCTCAGGTTATTCCACGATTCTGCTCCCTGTAAACTCTCAGGAGATCTCCCACAGAACAGCACCACACACAGAGCTGAGGTAACAGGGACCCCTCCCCCTGCCATCCCTCTGCAATGCTGCCTGAAGAGCACAAGCCTATACCAGCAGCTTAGAATAATTTCTTTATTCATGTAAAACAAATGCAAGTATTTATATAAACACTGACATTACAAAGTACTGGAGCAGGTAGGGGCAAGAAGGAGGAAACAAAAACCTCTACAGACGCTTCTAATACTGTCCCACACACGATCAAATGCTCTGTCCCTTGGATAATCACTTGTACAATAAACCACTTTCAAGTCACAAATAAAAGTCTGTTTGAGATATGTCACACTTTGAGGAGGAACGAGAAGAGGGCGTAGAATGTTTTTGGCAGGTCTCCTCATCAAGTCAAGATATTGCTGCACTGTTAATAAAAAATAGATGCTTCTCTGTAAAGCATTAAAAAAATATCCCACAGGTGACATCATGGAGGCTTCAGTGGAGCAGCAGGTATCCCAAACTGCACTGGTGGTGTCTCCAGCTCTGTCCAGAGGGCTATTTCTTGGTAGTTTTGCGGATCAGTGCCATTCTCTGCAACAAAAGAGGGAAAACCATGGGAAGCTGAGCAGCTCAGAGTGGGAGACTGCACAACCACCCACAGCAGAAACAAGGCATCCCAGGCGCTCCCAGGACGTGGTCTGACTTGCTTCCACACTGGTCTTACGGGTCTGTTTGAATCTTAATGGGGCTCCAGGCTGAAGAGGAGAAGGAAGTATCTGTGCTTCTCCACTTGGCAACTTGGGGCAGTGGAATTAAAGCCCATCTCAAGGCCCCCCTCTCTGCCCAGTGGGAGCTGCAGCATCACTCATGAACCCACTGCAGGGCAGCTCCTTCTAGGCTCTGACCACGGCTTAAAAACCAATGGTCCAATGCAGTTTAAAAGCAAAATTAAGGGTGTTCTCAGTTCCTTTGCACAGAGATGGAGTTGCCAGGGGCAGCTGAGAAGCGCCTGCGTGCAGCTCCCAGTTGGTTTTAACCCTCCTAAGCTCCTCAGCACCAAGAGCTGCTGCTTCTCTTTGGGCAAAGCCAACATAGCTGAGGAGACACAGCAACCTCAGCCTGCTGCATAAACAGGTCAGGAGGCTCTGGAAGTCATTTCTAGTCTGAACAACTTGGAAGAGGCCACAAATTCACAGTGCCAGGAGGCCATGACCTCCATCCTCACATCAGCCTTCCATGTGATTCCTGGTGTTGTGAGGGCGCCTTACCTGTTTGTGAGCTTCTGTAGTGCAGGCTTTTTTGTAGGGCCTGATTTCTTCAGAACCAAAGCCCGGGATCCACATGTTCCACTGGCGCTCTGAAAGTCACAGAATGGTTTCAGTTGGAAGAGACATTAAAGCTCATCCAGTTCCAACCCCTTGCCACAGGCAGGGATGCATTATCTACTCACAGGCTTCCATCACAGCACTGCAACTGTGCCCTGACTCCAGGAGGAGCTGAGAGCTGGGGGTAGAAGGGAAAAAACCAGGTAAGAGTCACTCACCAAGGTGCAACTGGACATCTTTGACTTCCAGAGTGTTGGACTTGCGGTGCCGTGCAAGCTGGCAGGCGGCTGTCACCACACTCTCAATGAAGTCGTCAGCGATCTGTAGCAGCATCTGTGGTAGAACAAGGGCAACAATCAGTCTGGTCAGCACTGAGCAGTTGAAATTATGTGGGAAGATGAAAACAAGCCCTCAGAAGCTGATATTTAGAATTACAGAATGTCCTGAATTGGGAGAGACCTGCAAGGATCATCCAGGCCAGCTCCTGGCCCTGCACAGGTCACCCCAGCAATCTCCATCCTGTGCCTGAAAGCATTGTCCAAATGCTCTTTAAGTCTGGCTGCCTGGGGAGCATGGTCAGGGCCCTGCACCCTCTGGGGGAAGAACCTTTCCCTGATCTCCAGCCTGACCCTGCTCCAGCCATTCCCTGGCTCCTGTCCCTGCCACGGGGAGCAGAGGTTGGAGCTGCAGTCCCCACGGAGCTCTGCCCTCAATCTCCTTTGCTCCAGCTGAACACACCAAGAGCCCTCAGCCACTCCTCTTATGGTCCCTCCTGATTGTTCCCCATCTTCAGAGTCTCCTTTGGGAGCCCTCTGATAGCTTTAGATCTTTCTTATATTGTGGTGTGCAAAATTCCACTCAAAGGAGTGGATTTCATAGGTGTTTGCTGCAATTGCTGTTTTAAAAGCCTTTTTGGGACTGAGATGCAGAAAACCAGGGATGGCTGAAGGCTGCATGGGAAAACAAGTGTTACATGAACTAAATGCTCCCTCCTTGGATAAATGGCCACTGATCTGTGACAAATTACAAATTAACTCTTCCTGCAGTCCCTTCCACGGGCTAGAACCTACTTCTTCCACATCTTCATCCAGCTGCTCGTTCGGATCCACCTCACGCACCAGGTCTTGCAATTTCTTCTTGGTTAAAACCTGAGCATGTGGGAGGAGAGGAAGGATTTACTGCCCTGCTCCTGCAAAGAAGCTGCCCGTGGAGCACAACCACAACCACAACCACCTCCCCCCCATGCCCCCAGGGCCGAGTCACACTGCTGACACAGTCTATCAGCTCAGGAATGGTAGAGATAAGAAATATCAGGTGTTAAGGAGTCATTTTCAAGCACCAGCAGTTGCTCTGGACAGCAACTGGAGTGCAGCAGCAAGAATAAATGTTTCCAGCATGAAAATGCAGCTGACAAGGAGTAGAAAGGCAAACCTACAAGTGTTAAGAAGCAGACAGCAAGTGCAATCAGCGAATCAGTGACTAAAGTTGTGCCTAGGGCATGAGGGAAGCATTTCCATTACTCTAGCACTTATCAGCTTTAGTGCTTCACGTGGAAAACAGAGTTGTGGGAGTGCTGGGTTATTCCAGGGCAGTCAGACGTGGCAGGAGCAGAAACCACACTGGGCTGAACAACAGGATGCCGAGTCTTAAAAGATATGGATGGAAGGTGTCAGCCTGGTCTGGTCAACCAGATACATGGGAAATTCCTGCCCTTCCTCATTCCTTCACTGCTGTGGCTGTTTTATCTTTTATGGGGTTTTATGTTTTATGGGGTTTAGTGCACTTCCTAACAGTCTAGGTGCCAGCAAAGCCATCAGGGAGCAATGCTGGGACATTCCCTGGGCAGCAGTTTGTTTTATGCACATTAAAGGCTCCTGTGGCAGGCTGGGTTGGAAGGGATCTTAAAGCTCATCCCATTCCACCCCCTGCCATGGGCAGGAACACCTTCCACTATCCCAGGCAGCTCCAAGCCTTATGCAACCTGGCCTTGGACACTCTCAGGGATGGGGCAGTCACAGCTTCTCTGGGCAACCAGCACCTCACCACCCACTTCTCCCCATATTTTTCCCATCTAAACCCCACTTAAAAATAACTTCCTCTGTCACACTCCAATATACACTTTCCTAAGACTGGAAAAGGCTCTACACCTACAGCATCCAAACCCCATCCAGCCAGGAAGCACCTGGGAGAGAGGAACTCTGTGAGGAAGTTTTGTTCACTCAGTAACGGAGTAAGGTTAATAAACATTATATTTCTGCTGGTGATTTAAAGAAGGCAAACAAAGCCACAGACAAATCTGTGATACTTGTGATGCTCGAGCATCATCCCTGCTGTCCCAAACTCGGGATGGAATTACCTGGTTGCTTTCAGGACTGAGCCGCCCTCCTCCACTGGGTGCTCCTGGCATCTTTGCCACGGTAGTGCTGTTGGCCATGGAGCTCTGGGGGGGGGTGCTGGCTGGTTCTGGCTTGATCGAGGAGAAGTTGGAGAGGTTGATCAAGGCAGAAGGGCCAAACTGGTTCATAATCTGTTGGGCTTTAGGTTTTAGATCATACAGCTTGTCTAGGTCCTGCTTCTTCTTGGGGTTGTGGGGATCCAAACCAATCAACTGGAAAGGGAGAGAAAAGCCATGGTTAGCAAACAGAAGGAATTCAGCAGGGTGAACAGGTGTTTGTCCAAAGAAAACTGCACCGTTCTGACAGGGTCTGCAGTTTATAGATCAGGAATCTGAGCTCACAGCATGAAGGGAGAAGTGATGCTTAGTAGCAGAGAAAACCTTTCCTTGGTGTACAGAAAATTAAGTTTTGCAGCATCACATTGGCTGCATGCTGGTGACAGCACTGACCCACCCACCCATTCATCCCTTGAGCTGAACTCCACAACATCCAACCCCACACAGCCTTCCTGAACCCAATTCCCACAAAGAGCAGACCACTCAGAGCAGATTTAATTGCAGGACATGGTTTGTTCCTGCTGCAGCAGCATGGAAACCCTCATCCCCACAATCCAGAGCCCCAGAGAGAAAGCAGGACCCAGCCTCCCTGGGGCCTTGCTTTTGGCAGCATCACACTCACAGCTTGGCCTGCAGTGACCCCTTCATGTGGGACTGACAACATTGGTTCATTTTGGGTTCTGAGAACACAATCTGGCCCTCAGAGGGGGAGGAACATGTGTGTGCCCACACTGGGCAATTGACTGCAGGAAATGGAGTGGGATTTTTAGAGCTCACAATGGTGAACTACAAGTGGATTGTGTGGTTACACAGATATTCCAGGTGCTGAAGTTACTCAGGTTGTTGGTCATGGGGTGAACACTGATTGCACCTCCTCTGTTTCTGCACTAAGCCTCAGGCTCAATGAAGTTTTGCTCTGTCTTCAGTGCTCCATGACAGGAAATTCATCCAAACCCTGCACCTTCCACTACCACAACCACCGTGGGCAGCATTGATGGGTCTGTCACAGGAAAGAGAGTTTAAGGAATGGTTTTATGGCAAAGCCTCTGGCCCTATGGCAGGGCCAGAGATGGCTGAGAAACTAAGGCTGAACTCACAAAAAGAGTTTGTTTAACCAGCTTTAGGTGACTGCACCCTGATCTACAAATAGACATTTCCCTTCATCAAAGCAAGCCTAGTCAGTTTGGATTAATTAATATCAAAATCCACACAAGAAAGTACATGAGACAATTTAGAAGCTTAAGTACTTCACTCCAATGCACACTCATGCACCTGCAGACATGGAGCCCTCTGAGGGGAATTTATGTCCCTAACAGCCTTCTGCAGTGCCCTCAGCAAGTTTCCAGCTCCATTTTAATTGAATTCACAATGGAAAATCATTATGCTGGCACCCTAAACCCCTCAGCTGGCACTTCTGGCTGAGAAGTGAGAGGGATCGAGAGGGACCTTCAGTCTTGGCTTTAGCTGGGGTTGATCTCAGGCTGTTCACCCCACGCCTCACTTCACAGATCCACAGAGCAGAACTCCTACCCACTATGCAGGGAAGGAAGCACCAAAATCCTCGGACACAAAGCCCCAGTATCCTTGGGCAGAAGCACTTTAGCAGCCTAAAGTCATTTTGTTGTTTTATTCTCAGATCTTACTGTACCCTTCACATGCTACTAAGATCCCTGAACACAAAACTAATGGGGGGAGCAGATCCACAGGGCAAATCCCACATGCCAGCCCCATTTACCTACAACTGAGTGTCTTAATCTTTAATTACATCAGCAACTGCTGTGAGCGCAGTGAGTAGAGAAACCATAGTCCACACCCTTCCCAGAATGTCACCAGTCAGCATTACCGACTCTGGCATCCTCCTCTTCCACACAACTCTTATTCCTACAGAAACACCAGATACTTTTTGTATCACCAAATCTATATAAGATGGTTAGAGGAAACAGTTTCACAAATTGTCCTCACTACAGTGCCACAGATTGCATTGTCAGAAAAGATCACACAGAGTTCCTGCTGCAGAGAACATCATCCCACAGGATTCTGAAGAAAAATATGGTCAAAATCCATTTTTTCTGCCACGAAACAGAGCATCCTGGTACCTGCTGATGTGCAGGTAAGCCCACATCCTCAGAGCAGCAGCTCCCTCCAGGGCAAGAGGAGCTCTGGGTGCTGCCATCAGCACCACAAATTGCTCAGTTCTGCGACAGCACAGCATTAGAGCCGTAAGTAAAATCCACGTTAATGACAAAGAGCACATTCACTGGAGTGCTCAAGGGGCTCCCACTTCCATTAACCATAGTGCATTTTACCAAATATCTAAATACAATCATAGAATCTCAGAATGGTTTGGGTGGGAAGAAACTTTAACGTCATCTCATTCCATCCCCTGCCATGGGGCAGGGACACTTTCCACTGTCCAAAGTGGCTACAAGCCCCGTCAAACCTGGCCTTGGGCACTTCCAGGGATGAAGCAGCCACAGTCTCCCGGGTCAACCTGAGCCAGGGCCCCATCACCCTCACAGGGAGGAATTCCTTCCGAGTATCCCATCTATCCCTGCCCTCTGGCAGTGGGAAACCACTCTCCTTGTCCAAAGCTCCTCTTCAGCTCCCCTGGAGCCCCTTCCGGCGCTGGAAGGCGCTCTAAGAATCTCCCCGGGGCCTTCTCTTCTCTAGGCTGAACTTCCCCAGCTTGAAGCGCACATCCCACGGAGACAGCGGGATGGGAACGAATCCCCCTCCCAGTGCAGAACGTCCCCGCCGGGAGTCGCAGGGCAGAGCGAAGGTCACCGACCGCCACCGGGACCGACTCGGCGCTCACTCCTGCGCTCCCTCCCGGATTGGCAACAGCCGATGTGGGATCCCCGGGCGGTCCGCGCAGCCCCCTCGAGCCCTCCGTACCTCCCCATGACCCGCGGGCAGTCCAAGCCCCGCCGCCACCGCCGCCCGCTGACACTCGGCAGCGCTTCCGCTTCCGGCCGTCGCCGCTGCCAATGGGGAACGAGTCCCCTGCGCGCGCGCGCATCATCGCCAATCAGGAGCGAGTTCGCCTGCGCGCGCGTGCGCGCCATAGCGCTCCCGCCAAAAGCGCTTCTCCTCCCCGCGCTGCCTCAGGAAAGAGGTGTGCCCAGCATGCCCCGCGCGATTTGCATAACCCTGGCCGGCTAAAAAGCGGGGAAAACGGCGCTTTTTTAAGGGATAGCCACAGAAATGGCGATAAGAAATGAGTTGAGGGTGGATGAAAGAACAGACACACCGATCTTCATGTTTAGTATCTGCGGCGTTAGTCGCCCTGTCCTAGCCGGTACACCGGCGCTTTCCGGTGTTGGTTGGGGCGGAAGATCTGTTTAAAAAGGGCTTCTGTCGTGCGTGGCACGGGAGTGGTCGCGCGCCACCCCCGCGGAATCGACATCAAGAGATTTCGGAAGCACAATTTTTGTGAGGGAGGGCTGCCGGTAACCGCCTGTTCCGGCACCCCAGTATCGGTGAACGATAGAGAATGGGCTGCGAGCGGCGTTCACTACTGCGCGGGGCTCCTGGTGCTCCGGCGTACTGCGCCCTGTCTGAGCAGGGGTGGAGCCGAGACACCACGGGCGGCGGGAGAGGTGGGACAGGAGGGACTGCTACAGTCTGGCCCGGGTGCATTGGTTTAATGCCCGGGCAGCAGGGCGTTGCAAGGCACTCCTGGCACTCCAAGGCACTCCACTCCATATCTGTCTTTCTATGTATAAAGCATATATTTACATATGATTACTTTTAAAAAGCCCACTGCGAGCGCGGGGAAGGTCCTCCTTTACACGCTTTCCCCCCCGCCCAATACCGTGCTGTTGTGCTCCCCTCCTCACAAAGCTTCATGGTACACGTGTGCGAGGGGACAGTGCCTAGGCCACCCACGGGACTCCTCAGAACAGGGAGTGCCAGTCCCCTCCACCGCAGCTGGCAGCTCCCCGGGCCGCAGGGCAGGGGTCTGGTACTGCCCCGGGGAGCACTCGGCAGGTCCTGTGATGATGCAAGGGCTGCGGTGCATCCCGGCAGGCTCCGGCTCAGTGAATGGCATGGCGTACTCAGGCTCTGGCGGCAGTGGCTCCGCGTACTCATTGTGCTTCCCTGGGACGTCGTAGTGGTTCAGGACCAGTGGTAGAGTGTAGCCCTCTTCTAAGAGTGGTTTGAAGGTGGAGGGACCTGTCTGGCTGCTGGGGTTCGCCTGCACCAGGTCTGGCTCAGTGTACTCTGAAACAGGGAGGCTGCCATGTGAGGAGGGAGGGTGGTGGTGCTGCAGCAGAGGTGGGTGAGGTGGGTTGAAAAACTGAGCATGTTTGGACTTTCAGGAATAGAAAAACTGCTAAAACCCACCCAACACAGGGTACCCACCCATGGAGAACCCACATTCCTTTGCCACACCACAGAGAGGGCCTCCTGCTGTCCCCAGCCACCCTCCAGTGCCAACAGCTGTAATTGAGGTGGACTACTACTACTAAATAATGTGTGGTGCTATTACAATAAATTATAATAATAATTAAATGGTCATGTCTAATTTATCAGGGCTTTCTTGTTGCACAGGTCCATGATGCAGGAGGGATCAGACCATAATGGGGAAAGAGGTACGACTGGGAAGATTCGGCTCCAGCTCTGGCCCGAGGGACCAGTTCCTGCCCTGATGTCCCTGTTACCTGGCGAATGGGTCCAGCTGAGGGCCCCTGGTGTGGGGGCCATGGGGAAGGAGGCCAGGCTGGGGGCTGGCAGGCTCTGCAGGGAGCAGACCTGGCTCGACTCCAGCTTGGGGTACCCTGGACAGGGAAAGGAAACCCTTGGTTGTCACAGACTGTCACCTGGATGTGCAAGTGCCCTTGGGACATGGAACAAGTCCAAGCTTGGCAGCAGCATCAGTTAAACCAGCTGCACCCCACAGCACACAGACCCCTGATTTTGGGGAGGAGTTGTGAACCCTTTTACCTTTTGTGATTCCACAGTTCAGCTCCACTGCTGACTTCCTGCCAAAGGGAGATGCAAGATGAGACAAGAGGTCCCAGCTACCCTGGGCCCACCACCACCTATCTCCTCACACCCACTGCCTTAGGAGCTGTGCCCCTTGGGGCCTGGTAAGCAGTTAGATGAAGCTGCTGGAATCTGGGGAGGTGATGCTGAGCCCCCCAGGGCAAAGCAGGGGACAAGGAAGGACCAACCTCTTCCTGTGGCAGAGGAAAGCCAGGAGCAGGAGGCAGGAGCAGAGGAGCACAAAGCCTCCAATAAGCAGTATCACCAGCAGTGTGGAGCCTAGGGAGGGAGTGCAGTGTCAGTGCCCTGGGCCCCCATCCCACCGCTTTGCAACCATGAGTGCCAGAAGCCGACCTGGGGCCACTAGAGGAAGAAAATGTGTACCCATGGTGGGATGAAGCCCCAACGGCACCTTGAACACCAAAAGACAATGCTGCACCCCAAGGACAGCCCCCCCATGGCACCCACCTGCCTTCTCTGGGTCCAGGGCAATGCCAGGGATGGGGGTGTGGCTAGGTGGGTGGCTGGTGGCTTCAAGCACCTCCTTGGGGACACTGGGCTCTACAAGACAGAGCAGGGACTGTGACTGTGGAACCACCACAGGGTGCACAGGAAGGTGAAGGTTCCAGGAGGATGTTTCAGATATGGGGGTGTGAGCTCCTGTGGAGGGTCTCACCATAGGGACGGGGTATGCGGACCCGTGCCAGCTGGCAGCCCATCAGGGCCACCTTCAGGGCAATGTGCTGGTGCCAGCTCTGCGGTGTGACACGGATGTAGCGGGCAACGATGGGGGGGATAAAGGCGTTAGAGACCTCCCCGTGGCTGTCAGCATTTCCTTCAAACACCTACCAGAGAGGGTGAAGAGGCACCAGTGGCTAAATATCCACTGGCAGGGGTTCTCAGCCTGCTCAGGGATATTCTCCACATGCCCACCTTGTCCTCCTGACCACTGCTGCCTCTGTAGGGTCTCCAATTCTTCCCGTCACGGCTAGAGGAGACATGGTAGGATGTCACGTAGTAGTCGTGCTGCTCCGAGGAGCCCTTTGTGATGATGCCTGTGAATGCAGGAGGCAGTTCCCCGCTGTCAGTTAGGGGGCTGGGGAAGGGCTGCCCTCTACCCTGCTGCCCTCTTCTCCCAGCTGGAATAGCCCTTTATCTCTGAGATACTCAAGACCCAGCTGGGAAAGGACTATTAGGGCAGGACATGTCACCTGGCAGAGTGGGATCCTTCTGACCCTGGGAGGGGATTCGGGTGGCAGATTCCAGTGTGGGATACTCTGGTCTGCCCCCATGAACTGATAACCTCCAGCCCCGGCTGCTAGCCCTGCATTCCTCCCTCCTCCAGCCTCTGGCTGGACAATGTTCCCATTTTCCTTGCTGCGGTTGCCAGTCGCTGGCACACAAAGCCCCTGCTTTTGGCAGGCTCGGGCCGCACAAAAGATGCTCACTGGCACCAGATGCAAGAGCATAATATTAACTTGTTCATCCCAGAAATGGCTGCAGATGAGGGGGGCAAAGGAACAAAAGGAGGACAGGAGCAGCCGGAGGGGCTGGTGTGCTTTGCATCCCTGTTTGCACCAGTAAAACCACGGCACAATGAACTCCAGTCTATCCTGGGAGTTATAGAGGTGCAACTGCCCTGGGCATTTCTGTGGCGACCAGTGAAGCTGGCACAGCAGGAGGACAGTCATCAGGGTACCATGGGGACACAGGCAGCTGTTGTCTCACTCGGCCAACTCTCACCTGTGACATTCTTTCGGGTGCCCAGGTCCAGCTCCAGCCAGGCAGCCTTGGCACCGGGTTTGGCTGCCCAGGAATGGCCAGTGGTGCTAAGTGCTGCCCGTTCGGCCACCCAGGCTCGGTCCTGGCCCAGCACGTCCACCTCATGCCACCAGGACGAGGCATTGAAGGTGACCACCTCCAGCACATCATCACAGGCTGGGGACAGGAGACAGCACACTGGGAACCTGGAAACCCCAACTAGGCACAGGGGAGTGGCAGCAGGTCTGACAGCTAAAATCCTCCCTTAATTTCAAGGGAAATGAGAAAAAATACCTTTGTGGAATACAAGTCGCTTCTCAGAGAGAGATCCCCTGTGTGGAAGAAAGCAGGGGGAGCATTAAACAGGGTGAGCAAACCCTAGGGTCTCTGAGGGGTGGAAGTTTCCCAGTGTCAGTGTGAGTGGGTCCTGCAGCTCCATGGGGGGTGCAGCCCCAGCCACTCCTCACCCACCTTTTGGAGCGGAGCCCATTGGCAAAGGCTGACTCATAGAGCGTGATTCCCTTCTCTCGGGACAGGGTGACCTGCCCTCCCAGCTCATCCGCAATCACCCCAGCATGCACAGCTGCCTTGCACAGCACCGATGTCTGCAGGGAGTGGGGAGTAAGGGCAGCCCCCCACGGCAGGCGTGAGCACCCCGTGGGGCCCCCCAAGGCCACACTCATCACCTCTGGGTTGCTGAGGGTGACAAGCAGTGGCCACATGTGCTGTGGGGACCATCCCCAGCAGGTGCACCATGGTGCCCACACTTACGTCCCGGTAGCCCTGGCTCGGGTTGCCCCAGATGTCCCCATGGATGTCCTTGCAGCCTGCAGGGCAGTACACACTGAAACACATGGTAAGCGGTGGGTCAGGGCTCCCTCCCATCCAAACCCCCTCTTCATACCCACTCTGCTCCCCATCCCACCGGAGCTGTACGTCAGGAGAGGGATGGGGATGAAACCAGGATTGATAGGGACCCCTGCAGCAGGGGACTCCAAAATGGGACCATTCCACACCCCGACCACTCACCTGATGTACTCCTGGGTGTAGTGGGTGCCTCGAACTAGGCAGGAGATCAGGTCTGCAAGGCAGGAACACCCCAGGGTAAGGGATCCCCACCTGCCCCACAGCACACACCCACTTCTGCCTCAGGGCACTCCATTCCCCTTCCCAACTGAATCCTGCTGCTCATTTGGGTTCTGCCCTTTATGCCCTGCCCTTCATGCCCCCCTGTCTGGAGGGGCAGGGAGGGATGGTCGCTTGGTCCCTGCAGCCACTGGCCCCATGGCACAATCTATGCTGCTTGTGGCTCTGCCTGATATTGGGGTGCCACCTGACTTGGGGATTCAGGGTTCTCAGAGAGGTCTGTATGGCCTGCAGGTCTCCCACATTTGCCTCCAGCCAGGGAGAACATGGAAGTTCGGGAGATCAGGGCAATGGAAGCTCATGCTGGGGTCAGCAAGGAGCTTCCTTCATGTCCTTGCATGGGCCAGGACACATCCCAGGGGTGTCTCTGCATGCCAGGGGATGCTGCTCCCATACCTGGGTGCTGTGAGGTGGCATAGGACATGAGGAGGCCTCGTCCCGAGCGGTGGCTGGTGCTGTTGAACAGGACGGTCACAGTGCTGGAGTTTGTCACCAGGAGTGGGGCAGAAGGGACGGAGTTCCTGCAGTAGGGCCCTGCCAGCAGGGATGGCACCAAGGAGAGGATTTGGGGTCCCTG